AAAAAGTCTATAACTGTTCATATTTACAGACGTGCAAACCACAAATCCAACGTAATATTAACCAGATCACATGAGTACACACAATTTGACGAGCTCAATGTCCAGTGTGACCCATTTAATGGTCACTGGGTAGCAACAAGTGCACACAGTGAGTGGATTTCCGTTGGCACGTGTGAAACCCGGTGACGATTGTTCACACTTTAACGTTTCCGCTCTGTGTAAACTGATCCATTTGAAGCACGCTCTTCCTGGGATGTGACGTCATTCACCAAACTGTTCGCCATTCTACATAATCCTCCTGCTCATGTGTAATCGATATGCAAATGTGATCAGGCTGGGCCTTGTTCGAATTGTGGTACGTAATTTTATGTAACCATTCGGAAATCAAGACCAGTAATGAAGGGCTATCACAGGGGTGCTGAGGAAAATGTCTGTATTCTGGTGTGGTCCGTTGAAAATCCAGCAGTATTTCGGAGGAGAATGTAGTCTCCATCTTCAGGAAAGAAGAATATGCCGAGCTCTGCATGCTACTTGCTTCATGCCGGTTCCTTTCTTGGCTTATAATTCTACCCTGAAGAGGGAGTTGACATGTTCCTCCAAAACATGGATTTCAAACTGACTATATGGAGTTATATCCCAGAAGAACTCTTCGAAACCAGAAACCTGTTCTATAATTTGGGTCCCGAATTAGCTCCTTGCAGTTTTGCGTATCTCTTTTGCTTAAAAGTCACGGTTTCTGAAACCGTGGTTCACGACTCCAAAAGTAATCACGACATAATCTAAAGGGGTTGTGTGGTCGCCATGGTCTGAAGAATTACTTAAAATTTGGTTGGGACCGCGAACGGTTTTGGCAGATCAGTAAGATTTAATGTACTTGCAACCGACAATTTTCGAGAATATACTCGTATTTATGGTTCTGTAAGATAGTGATAACAAAGCCGGTACAGTTCCAAGGAGTGTATAATTATATTTATGTATATTTTAGTATCATATTGTCACGATTTAGGGATGCATGACTATAGATGGGGTATGGATTGGTGAATGGATTTATTGACCATTTACACATACACCACTCGGGACTACAAGTAATTACAGAGCTACCGCTAATCTCCACACTTTACAGTCCACTGCTGCAAACACAAAGTCTTCTCCAGCCCGTAGTGTCTTAACCAGCCGTTCCCTGCAACGGCTACTAACAGTGGAGGTTTTTCAGCTTCTCCCGCTCAAGTCCTATTGTCACGGCCTCCCGTGCAGAGCTCAACTGAACTACCAACTTTCAACTAACTGGATTTCCCTAATTCTCTTCTTTATAACTGTGCACGGACCACGTCGAAAACACCGTGTTCATTTCTCTGGGAACGTGTTTACTGAGCCATTACTCAGAAACAGCCATTTATTTATTCGCCTATTGCATAGCAATGGCTGTTCTCGTTTGTTTCGAGATCTTTGCCTAGTAGCAGGTCTATACGCCAAAACATTTATTAATAACTAGCTGTGCCCGGCCACGCCTTGCTGTGGCTCAGTCTGCCCGTTCTTCCCCAGTTTGATTTACGATTACTTGACGCATTGCTTCCTCTCCGCGAGTACGACGACCCAAGTTTGATCTTCTGCGAGGCATTATTTGAATGAACTGAAGCAGATCATTGCACTGATGAAAAAAAAATGCTAGCAACGGGCCACTGTTATTGCGTTTCCATGGAAGTACACGCTAACTGTTCTAGCGTTACTATTGAAACGACTGCTGCGAATGCAACGTTGAGTCAAAATTTCGAAGCGCTCGGACGGGATAGGGAATACATTATCGAAGAGTTTGTTTCATCTGTTGCTTAGGAAATGCTAGCAACGGGCCACTGTTATTGCGTTTCAATGGAAGTATACGCTGTTCTAGCGTTACTATTGAAACGACTGCTGGATTTCGAAGCGATCGGTGAAGAACTTTCGGAGATCTTCGATAAGAGAAAACGAACATTTACATTTTTATTTAAAACTCTTCGGAGCTGGACTATTATAACCTGGTTTCGGACGCAATAGAGGGCACGATCTGTTGTTAGCAACGGCCCACTGTTATTGCGTTTCCATGGATCTTCGATAAGAGAAAACGAACATTTACACAGCCCAATTCCAAGGCAATGTCACACGAAAAATTAAATCAAAATGAAAATAAATCGAAACTGTTTATATTCGGCGTTGGCGATCCCAAGACTAACTCCTTCGGCGCTTACCTCCAGGCTCTCTTCCGTATCCCTTGGCATCTGCCCCGAGACTGACTGCTTCTTGTCCAAGGTGGGCTGTTTATACCTCGGCGGATGCTGTGATTTCACTCGGAATCTCTTGTGATACTTGTGACCTCGTGATACTCGAGACACTCGTGATACTGAACAGTCGCCGGAGCTAAACTCTCTTATACATATAGCCAGCGCTCGGACGGGATAGGGAATACTTTATCGAAGAGTTAGTTTCATCCGTTGCTTAGGAAATGCTAGCAACGGCAAACTGTTATTGCGTTTCCATGTAAGTATACGCTGTTCTAGCGTTACAATTGAAACGACTGCTGGATTCGGAACATGTGGCAGGTTTTTACCTGTTTTTACCTGTCACGGGTGTGACATCTACATAACAGGCACACAGAAACACGCGGGTGTTCGAATGCAACGTTCAAAATTTCGAAGCGATCGGTGAAGAAGTTTCAGAGATCTTAGGTAAGACTCAAACGAACATTTATATTTTTATTTATATAGAGTAGCCTAATTCGGATAAGTATTTTGGAGATTTCATGACCCACCGAGCTGATTTCCATGTCCCATCATTGAGTCGCGACCCACGGTTGAGGAACACTATTTCATATTAAATACGTATTCTATTAAAGTTAGCCTTTCTTGACAAAATCATTCTAATTTTCACATAAAGTAAAGAGTGCGCTGAATTGACGTGGACTAAAATTAAATTTCCGCTAAAAATTCATAACTTAATTAAATTTTTCGGGAAAATTTGGAAAATAAATATCTGGATCTCTGTTACAGATTTTGCTGTTATTCGTCTCTCTGAAAAGGCGGAGGCTGATTCTGTTTTGTTTTATATTTGCTGCTGATTACCAGTTAGTGGCGTTCACCCAAAGCTGCGTGTTATTGTCCCTATGATAGTCTCATAATTACAGGGGTTGACAAATTGGTTTGCTCACTATAATGGGAAACCGATTATGTCAATTAGCAGTTTCATCAACAGACACCTACAACGTTAAGCAATTAATTTTGTTATTCACTTCGATATTTTTACAAAAATCCGTAGGGAACTTGTGCAAAGACAAGATATAGGTGTATCTTGAGGCTCTCAGGCCGTGGCTATGATGAATGCTGCTTATTTTAGATGTGACCCCGTGTAGTCTGGTAGGAGTTGCTGACTTTTCTTCAACTTTATGAAGCATGTAGCTTGCCACTGCAAAACGTCAATAAATATTTCCCAGGCTAAACGACATTAAAGAAATACTAAATTAGCAGTTCTCACAGCTGTGACTATGAAGTATTTGAGATGTGACGCACTGTAGTCTTATAGGAATTCGCCGACATTTCGGAAGAACTAAGGTAAGTTAACAACGAGCAAAAAGTACATTTCTCTTATTTGGTTGTCGCTTGTTCGATTAATTCACTCTTAGACCCTGAAGATCATGGGAAAATGTTCCTCAGTAAATTCTTTGAACTTCTGCCAGACTACACGGCATCACATTCCAGAAGATAATAGTCTTATTTATTTGTTGTTCATTTAATAACGCTGTCACTAGCTCAGGCTACATAGCAATGACTCACTGGGTGACTGTGGTTAATGTATTTTAAAGTATTGTCACGTATTTAGGATGTGTGACTATAGACGGACTGTGGATTGGATATTTGGTGTACTGACCACTTGTACTCACCTCTCTGAACTGCAGGTAATAACAGCGCTATTGTTAATCTCAACAATTCACAGTTCGCCACAGCACCCGCTAAACCATTTCCCAGCCTGCTCGGTCTTAACCAACTGTTCCCTGGCAACGGCTTCTAACAGTGGAAACTCTTCAACCTCCCTTGCTCAGGTCCTTCCTTCGCCGACTCTTGTTCAGAACTGCCTGCCAGCTGTTCCTTCTGCTGAACTGGACCGCCATCTCTTCTCAGCCTCCCTCGCAGAGCTCAACTGCAATACCAGAGGGAAAGTCAGGGTTACTTTATCATTTACTTACGACGCTCTCAGTAGCTGGACTATGTATCGTCGAATGAAAGCTGAATGGGAAGGGATTTGGAAGGAAGTGCTCTTCAAATCGAGCTATTATCGCGGAATGAGGAAAATCATGAAATATATTAGTCATGATAGCCGGTGTCCCTTTCGAGATTCGAAACCAGCACTTTCCGAATGACAGCCAACAGCGTTACAGCGTCACTAAACTTCTTGGCACCATTTTTGAAGTAAATACTAAAATAATATCAGTCAATAAGTATATAAATCCGAAGTGAACGGAGAAGTTCATGGAGGTAGGCCTAGGCCCACTGGGGCTGTAGTGCCAAGGAAAAAAAAAGTATATAAATATGAGTACCAGGAATCTTCCTGTGGGTAAATGGCTGACAACCTCACCGTCATCTGTGAACCGATTATGTAGGAAATGTGGGAGCCTCGGCCTCTCACAACCCTATGGGCCTCCACGGCCTGTTACAGGAATAACTCTGCCTTTTACTTTATTCTAGTCGGTATCAATTTTGACTTTCATTCAGGAGGTGTACAGTTCGAGTCTTGGCTGTGACACCGACTAACGTAATTTAGGGTATTCGTGGCTTTCCTCAGTTACACAGAGTAACACCGAGGTGATAACAATTACAGATAATTTCAAATTCATTATTCACTAGTCTCCCTAGCATTCGACGATATAAAACCTGAATACTGAAAATGCCGTACAGAATTAAAATAACTCACCGTTATTTCTTTTAAGTGTGTGAAATCTGGTAAACCTAATAGTTGTTGCTTCTGCTTCTGTGCAGGCTTGTTGTAGACTGCAACTGAAGTGAATTCACCGCCGCTGCTCACAGCAATGAAGCTGCTTCTCGGAAAAGGAGAAAGCCCGCAACGACCATAAAACGTATTTGCATCGACGTCTTGCCAAGATGTTCCTGTGTACAATGTGAGTCAGATTTTAACTCTTACAATGCCAAGGTTCACGTTATCTAGACATGTGAGCATCTAGAATTTTCAGCATCGAATCGGAAAAAGCGATATCTCGATCTCGAATCCGACATAGATTTATCAATCTCGAACTTCAAGAATATTCACGTAACTGTTACATAACTTCGCAACACGCTAATTACTCGATAAATCAACGCTTTAATTGTCGGAAACAGTAACAGAAATTAACTTGACAGCAGAATCTGTCTCACTTTCCCCTTCGCTCTGCAAATGGCGCAAAAGAATATAGCCCTAGAATTGGTTTATTTAAAAACAATGATTTATAAACTTTTCTTTCACTGGAAAAGATCTCATAGCGAAAGGGATAAATAAACAAATTTTCTATTATGTTCTTCCCCTCGGCCTTCGAAATTTACCTACAATTGTATGAATAGTCGAGAGGCCGGAGTAGCGCAGTCGGTATAGCGACTAGCTACGGGCTGGACGACCGAGGGGGCGGAGTTCGAGTTCCCGTAGGGTCAAGAATTTTCACTTCTCCATTTGTCCAGACCGGCTCTGGGGTCACCCGACCTCCTATGCGATGGGAACAGGGGGTCCTTTCCCGGGGGTAAAGCGGCCGGTGAGTGAAGCTGACCATTCACCTCCAACTGGCGCCGAGGTCAAGAAAATGTGGATCTATATATCCTCTCCCCCATACGCCTTCATGGCATAGTGCTTAATTAGTTAAACACAGGACCAATTTTACATTTATATGAACAGTGGTCTTCTTTCTACTTTGAAAAGTAATATCCTGAAATGTACATCAGAAACTTGTGCTTACTTTTCACAAGGACTGTACATGAACACTCGTTCCAAATGGTAACTCTAACGTGCCGTTATGACACAAGAAGAAACGCGACTGAGCAAAAGCTGGATACCGTAGTAGGGGCCCGGGATCACTGCCGGTCAGCACACAACTTAAATTTAATTTCTTTTTTAAATTCGCTTAGTGGGGGTTGGAGTCCAACTGGGTCCACTCGGCACGGCGGCCACTGATTTGCCTATTGTAGCTTGCCCCGGGTGATTATGATGATGGAGAATTTGGTGGAATGAAGATTGGCAGGGGATACCGAAGCACTCTGAGAAAACCCGCCCCAGCGCCACTTTGTCTACCACAAATCCCACTTGACCAGACCCGGGATCGAACCCGGGCCGCCGCGGTGGGAAGCCAGCGACTAACCGCTTGAGCTATGGCGCGGACTGGCACACAACTAAGAGCACGCTTCATGGTGTGGTGTGTATAAACTACTGGCCTGCAGACTACGCCACATGTCCGAACGCGTCTGGCGAAGTTTATGCGAGTAGCCCTTGAACGTCTCGCTGGACTGGCCGAATGAGTTTCTGCAGCTGTCAGTATTTATAACATTTATGTTACCAAATACGATATTTTATTTATTGTTTAATGACTGTCAGCTCAGATTAAATATCGTCAAATAATATGATGACTGTGAAATACTCAGTTGGAAAAGCAAAACTCCGTGGCCTGCAGTCCGCAAGCGAACTATACCGACCGAGCTACCGCCGCTTATCGGCGAAGTTAGTGCCAACTTTAACGGATAGAAGGTGTCACGTGGTCAGCACAACGAATCCCCAAGTATATTAATCTCGGGTTTCCAGACCGGAGCTTCTATTTCCTTGAAATAGCTTCGCAATTATCCTCACGAGGCTGAGTGGACCCCGTTCCAGACTCACTGCTTCTCAGAAAATCTGGTAGCGCTGGAAATCGAACCCAGGACATCTGGATCTGTAGCCAGGAACTCTGACCGCTAGACCACAGAGGCGGTCCACTCAGTTGGAATTGGAAAGATTATGGAAATGTGTGACCGTAGCCTGATTTGAGGTACGTGACGATTGTAAGGAGGGGCTGAGGGCAGCCACTACGAACATCAGGATAGTCAATCCCCAATCCCAGATTAAGGACGAGCCTTCAAAATATGTGGAGCAGGCGTTTTCTCCATTCGGCGTGTTTTCAAATCATCACAATAGTATTGCAACACCCGTATTGGCAGGCATTTTGAGTGCACAGTCATCAACTTAATATTGCAACATCCCTTTTTCGTAGGTAGCTGAGTGGCTTGCAGACTGCAGAATGAGTGATCACGAACGAATCCGATTGGTGATTCTGGGAGGCGCAGGGGTTGGCAAGAGTTGCATTGTCAAGCGTTTCCTCTTCAACACCTTCACCGACAAATACCGCAGCACAGTGGAAGACCTGTACAACAGGGAGTATGATTTGGGGCCCGTCACTCTCAAGGTGAGCCATCAGCTACGTTTCCGGACCAAATTCTCCCTAAAGTACACTTTTTTTAATATCCATAGTTTTCAGTTCATTAAATCGAAAGAGTTACGCAAGCATCTGCGGGGAATGCACACTCATTGTGTGCCCAGTCGGCAGGCCTATGTATGCACGAGTCTATAATCGTCCGTATTACAGCCTACAATGTAAATAATGAAATCAAATGTGATAAGGATGGGACGTAAATAATGCAACTGAAGTCAAAAATGCATACACAATTTTAGTTGGAAAATCTGACAAGAGAATACCGTTTTGGAAAGCCAAGCATACAGGGGAATATAACATGAAAATGGTTCCTGGCGAAATGTGAGAATGTGGGATAGATCCAACATTCCAGTGGTAGCAACTCCAAAGAATTCAATAGAGCGTGTGGAATATATTGACTAGCTGAGCGACAACCAACTCCTCAGCTTCATTTAATAAATTTAAGAGTGAATGGTTTCCTTCCCATTATAATGTCACGTGTAAGAGTGACTATAGACGGGGTATGGATTGGTGAATCGATTTACTGACCACTTATACACACTAATCATAACTACACGTAATTACAGCGGCATCGCTAATCGCCACACTTTACAGTTCACTTTTACACGCACTGTAGCGTTCTCAGTCTGCTACAGTCTACATTAGTCGTTTCCTGGTAGCGGTTTTTAACAATGGAAATTCTTTAGCTACTGTGCTTACGTCGTTAATGTCTGGCGAATATCCCACAACTGAAATGTTTGAGTCTGAGTCTTATGTTACGCCCGATGGTCAGTTGGCCAGTCTTTTTCGAATAAAGCACCCATCTGGGGCTTAAGATCAGATCTGTATTACTGTCAGACAGTTGCGGGTTTTTGATGTGGAGAGGAGACGAGAGGACGGGTCTGTCGTTTACAATTGCTGCTGACCCTCGGCGGCGCAGTCATTCTGGGGTCCGAGTCCCGTGGGTTTCGCGACCATATTTTACTGTCGCAGATTCGAGACTTCCCTTTTCGTCGCCTCCTACGACTTGCAGGGCTACGGTGGAGGTATTCGAAACTGCCTCCACATAGGATCTCTGAACTGTTTGCTCAAATTGTCCTGCTTATAACATGTCGCACGGATAGCTCAGGAAACGTCGTTCCTCACTGTTGTAATTCAATTGTTACTTGTTAAGAGTCTGCTGCCTAGCAGGGGACGTTGTTTCGTTGTTTGTTTCGCGGTCGCTACCTAGCAGCGCGTCTCTAAATACTATAATATGTATATAAAAGCATAAGTTTCAGTCAAATACAACTTTGGTTGTAAAATAAATAAAATATTTCATTTTTTTTACTACTGTGATTCATTACCATCAGATGTGAAATGTGAAGGAGTTGTACAGGTGCCTTTTTCTAAACTTATGATACATGCATATAGAACACTGTAATATATGATATATGAGTTGTTGTTAAAAATATAAATATTGGGTCAGTTCTGGGGGATTTTATGAAAATCTCGTTAGGGGTGTGCCAGGGATGGAAATATAAGTTTGGGTTCTTTGCCGTTATCACGGAGAAATAAGCTGTGTCAGATGTGTTGTATTGTTGATGTGTTTTGCAGTGGTGCTTGGTGACAGATTCCATGGAGGAATTTGGGATCATAATTAAATTTCTTGAAAGACTCATATTCTCATCCATTTGTTTCAACCTCACAGATGTTAATGTTTTCCTAACTGACAGTGTTAATCATTTGAGTTCTTAAAACGTGAAACTCGTACAACTATGAATACTTAATATGAATATTGGCTGCGCCATAGCTCAAGTGGTTAGTCGCTGGCTTCTCAATGTGGCGGCCCGTGTTTGATCCTGGGTCTGGTCAAGTGAGATTTGTGGTGGACAAAGTGGCGCTGGGGCAGGTTTTCTCCAAGTACTTCGGTTTCCCCTGCCAATCTTCATTCCACCAATTGCTCCACAATCACCCTCACCTATCATCTGGGGCTGGTACAATAGGCCAGAAGTGGCCGCAGTGCAAGGGACTTAGTCCCACCCCACTAGCAATAAAAAAAATGATATGAATATTTAAAATATTCAGTTCCTACCTCACAGAGAATATATGCTGTGAATCATAAGAAACCAGTGAACACCAATATTGGTCTCATGCATTGTGACACTGTGTAGTCTTGTAAGCAGTTGCTGATATTTTGAGAGAATATTCTGCTGCCATATTCACAGTTTAAGTGTATAGAGTGAGGAATTGAACCTTTAAGATGCAAACAACATGTCCTTCTGGAACCTAAAGGCTGTATGATGTTGCAACCATGAAGAATGAAATTTGGAAAACTGCCACCAAGAAAACTTCAGTATTTGAAAAACATAGGTGGGCAAAATGCAAAGATGTACAATGAAAAGCAGGTAGCATATACAGTAACCACTGTGCTTTCAAGTGCGCAAGAAGATGGGCAACCTAACTGCAGGAGACAGACTGTAATGCTGTTGAACTTGTTGCAGGTTGATATCTTGGACACAGCCGGTGATATGCAGTTCCCTGCAATGAGGAGACTTAGCATTGCTACTGCACACGCCTTCCTGCTGGTTTATGCCACAACTTCGGCCCCGTCGTTTGACAGCATCAAGCGTTGTTTTGAGGAGATCAGGGAGCAGCGAGCAGATTACCAGGACATTCCCCTCGTTGTGGCAGGCAACAAGCTGGACCTGGCATCTACACACCGTGAAGTTACCATCGAGGATGTTTCTGAATGGGTCTACTGTGAGCTACCCAAGCTGAGGTGAGATGTCATGTATGAACTGTGGACAAAATTGGTAGGTCGACTCTGTATCTGCTCTTCGATATTAGTACCATGTGGAATAGTTGTCGACGTTTAGGAGACAAATTCTGCATCCTTCTTCAGGGTAAAATTGAGTAAGGTGAGTGACTTTTCATGTTGTTTAGGTCATAGTCCAGCAAACACACACAGGAGAAAGTGTGGGGACTTGCGCCTTGTGCAACATATACAGTATAATACTCATGCATGCTTGAGGGGTACCACTCTCCTGTTTCCACATAGGGAGTGGTCATCCGCCAACCTATGTAACATGAACATTCAGTGTCTAAACCTTTAGATAGAGGGCTACAACATTCAACAGTGAAACCTACACTAATACATCAGGAAACTCCAATTTTCAGCCATATTGATCCATAACAAGACCTGATTTATACCTGTCCATAAATGAACTTGTTCATATATGTCATAAACTTTTTGATGATTGCATTAAACTTTTGTCATGGCAGTCTCTCTGGAAGTTGTTGAGAAATTACAGTATTCAGTTATATAGCCCCATAAAAAGGTTTGCTATATGTGAGATCATTTTTTTAGTTTCTTACATGGTATTTTAGATGCCATTAGGCAGATTTGTATGAAATTTGATACAATGGATTGTTGTAGAATATTAATTGGTCATTTTCAATTCTTGCCATAATGATGAATTGCAAAACGTACTTTATATAAGGTCATAAATGTGCTTCTGTGTGTGCGTGCATGTGCACAAGAGGTTTCCTTGAGTGAAAAGTATTCAGAGACCTTGTATGCCAACGAAACCATAGATGTTGTTAGGCATTCCTCTGATACACCAGCCAGTGAATCTTCTCCACAAAGATTTCCCTGGGCTGCTCCTGGCACCACTGTCTCCTGTCACCTTCGTGTCTTTGACCATTCCAAATCCAGAAATCTTTATTACCTTTTGAGAGAATCAAACACACGGAAGTCACAGAGTGACAGATCCAGGCTGTATGGGGGTTTTCCGACATCTTCCAGTGCATGGAGCATAGTGTGTCCTGAACAGCATAAGCTGCAAGAGAGCAGACATCCTCATGCAACATGATGAGGCCCCTTGCGAGCCTGTAGGGATGCTTTCGCTTGGTGGTGTATGATGGTCTCAGAAGGTTCCACAATAATACTGTGAATTGGTGGTAATATCAGGTTTCTGACTGATATCTTTTGGTCTTCTGTGGACGGATTATGCACCTGGAATGCCACATTTAATTGTTTGTGCTGTCCTGATGTAACATATCCATTATATCGTGCAACATTTGGTCAACTGCTGCTACGCCATGCACATAGCCACATGATCCCAGCAGCCAGGTGTATTCATTAGTATCACAGTGAACGAGTTTCTTGTGAAAAAGCCCCATTTATTGTGAACTGTTGTTAAAAGTCTGGTGAAATGAAACACAATGCAAGAAGATATGAATTTGTAATTCTGAAATTGTATGTCATTTAGCTGTTGAAATAATAATATTCTTCATTTTGTTGGATGTTTTTGTTTTGTTCAAATGCCATTTATAAACAAGTTGTTCATTAGCTTAATAAATTACAAAGAGCATGCATGAGAATTTCATATACTGCATTATGGATTACACACTTAGCAGTCCTGTTCTTTGTAATATGTCACAAAGCACTGCGCATGGAAGATAAGTTTCATATTTACATCTTCTTTCACTTCAAAATTTCATGTTTCCCACTTTCTTTCTTCCAAGTTATAAAATGCACAGAGTCCAACACAAAACATGCCATTTCAGATTCATACTTCCCATACTCCTGGTTGCATGTAACTCCAACTCTAGATTATGTACTTAATACACCTTACGAGGAAGATTTCAGTGTGACTCTCTCCTGCTGCAGAGTGAAGGTGCTCGAATGTTCAGCCAAAGATGATTACAACATCAAGGAGATCTTCCGCTGCTTTCTCACACTGTCACGGATCTTGCCTGCTGGTGGTGACGACAGTTCTGGAGGACTGAAGCGTCGCTCCAGTGCATATGTAAGTGCCAGCAGCAAGAACAAGGCAGGTCGGCGTACTGGAAGCCCAGCCCTCGAGTGCACGGGCACCAGTGCGGCCGCCAGCTCAGAAGGAGCAACAGGTGGACTGGAAGTGACCCGCTCTAAGCCAAGAAGTAGAAGCCTTATCCGTCGATCTAGCCGCAAAGCCAAACAACAAATGCGAGATGCTCATGACGATTGCAATATTTCATAAAGCAGCAGTAAATTTCATCTAACTCGTTTATTGTTGTGGCAATGCCAGACACTGGGGCTGGTTTCATTAGCACCACGTCTCTCAGCCAATAAAGTGAACTGCTGTTTATGTGGAAAGGAATGGGACCGTGTTCTTAACAATCTTCTCTCTTAATGACGTATCATAGATTTTCAAGTATGAAAAATATTTATATATTTAATACAGAGCACTTTGGTCTCTTGGACATATCGAGTTTTGCTACCAATGTCATTTACCAGAACAACACATATACCATGCAATTGCAATATTAGGATCTTAGATATTTTGAAACATAGGTTACACATATTTAAGTTTATTGTAGCATGCTATACTTGCAAGTAACATATGAAAATATAATTATCTCTCATTTGAAAATATACTTTGATATAAAGAAATATATAGCATGAGTAATAACTTAACTTTTTTAAGTCGAAATTCTTCCTATAAAGCTATATATAATACAAACTCATGTGTATGCCCGTTTCACAAAATTTTAATGCCCCACAGTCAAAAGAATTGGAAAATTAAAAAATAATACTAAATATTTATGAATTATAAATTCTGAAGTTTTCAAGGTAGTCATTGTTAGTACTGTGTTCTTCTTATTGTGACACAATGTAGTTTTATAGCCGAAAACTGATGTTTTGGAGGAACCTGACTTTGATTTTTGTACAGAACACAGTTTGAGAACAGATCGTATCCTATTCACAGTTTTCTTGCAGTTAGAACTGGTCTTGAATAATGAAAGACACCTATTTCAGTGTACCAATTATAACTGAGTATCATGGTCGGGGTACATTGATGGTCTTACTAAGTACTTCTTTCTTTTGGATATGTTATGTTTTAAAGAGCAGGGTCTTGGATCCAGTACTTCTAATCAGACTTCTGGTCAGTGTTACTTACTGCATTCTGAACTGACTTGACAACTGCTGTCATCGACTGTAGTAGAGACGACTTATTTTATGCTCATATTTCCGTCTCGAATCCAACTTATTGTCTTGTCCTACTTCTCTGTCACTACATGTTTCAGCTGTACATGGCTGTCATCTGGTACATAACTATGAACTGTCCACTATAATATGAGTATATTGGACCAAAAGGGAGAGCATTTAATATCAGACATAAGGAACTCATTCACACCACAAGAAGCATCAAGGATAATTCCGGATATTCAAACCACATGCTGAACACAGGACACAGGTATGGGGCTATAATTAACATTATGGATATTATAGAAACATGGAAGAAGGACAAACACTTAATTACCTTACGGGCTGCGCCATAGCTCAAGCGGTTAGTCACTGGCTTCTCACTGCTGCGGCCTGGGTTCGATCCCAGGTCTAGTCAAGTGGGATTTTTTGTGGACAAAGTGGCGCTGGGGCAGGTTTTCTCTGAGTACTTCGGTTTCCCCCGCCAATCTTCATTCCACAAATTGCTGCACAATCACTCTCACCCATCATCTGGGGCTGGTATAGTAGGCCAGAAGTGGCCGCAGTACAAGGGACCTAGTCCCGCCCCACTAACAATAACAAAATAATAACTACCTTACAGAAATATCACATTTGTAGAACCAATGCAGCTAACCTACATATGAATGACACACACATTGACACATTGACTACCCCATATTCAAGACTTTATATGAACTCCACACCAGATAGCAGCACATACACCCCCAGGCCTTTTCTGAATAAGTGGAACTAGTCATGCAGAACGTTCATAATCTCTGCTCACACAAACAAAGAAACAACAAAACAAGCCCAGTGGGATGGTAAAATCTACAAGTCACTGTAACATACCTAAGTATAAATAGTAGACTAACGTGCACAAAAAACAAAACAAATAATATGTATTAGAGTATAATTGACATTGACATTTGTACTAGCTGAGTAAATAACACACATAAGTACAGCTTACAAAATTAACAGTAACAACGAAAATATTATATAACACATTATTTACACATTACAGTAAATATCCACTCTGCAACAAAGGAATATATTGCAACAAGATACATCATCAGCTAATATACTCTCAGATAAATATTTTTCAAGAAATAGTTGGTGACTACAAAGAAGAATAACATTTATGAAGTATTAATTTTAATTTTTAATTCTACTCTTAATTCTAAATAAGTTTTAATTTATAATCAACATTGCATTCACACTAGATGAATAATTTTAACACACAGTGGAACAGTTTTGGCATGGTAGTCAAGCACCTGATGATGGCGGTGTACAGCCGAAACATGTAGTGACAGAGAAGTAGGACAAACAGAAAGTTGCATTTGAGACAGTAATATATGTATACAAATAAATACATCAATATAATAGGATGCTTAAATGAAATAGTAGACAATATGCTGGGGCAAAACTAGCCAGCCCATGATATTTTCCAACTTTCAGGCTGTGTAATTAAAATTCAGCAACAGGAGGGTAAAGAATGTAGCATAATCAGACAGGTTTTGTGTACCAGGAACAGAATTAGAAACAAATAACCAAAATGTTTGTTGTAGTTTTTGTTGTTGGAATCGAACCAGATACAGTAATAAATCTAACTGAGTTCAATATTGTAAACAAAGTATCACTATCCATAAACGTTAGGATATTTGAATATAAATTGACAGATTTTACCATGAAACTGAGTATTTAAGCTTCTTGATAGGGTTCAATGGGCTAAGTAACACAAAGCTATGGTTCCTTCCAGACTTTTTACTGTAGGTATTTCTTGTACATAATTTTACATTTTCATCTTGCATACAGAATCTAAACCACAATGTAAACCTAAAAGAAAATAATTCAATTATTACAGCATGTGTAATTATTATGGGCTACTTTAATCTTTCTGAATATTTTCTATCTTCTGTAATGAAGTGAAGTATATGCAACCATGTGTGTTATTTCCTAGGCCTGCTGTGTACACATCTGAAAATTCATTACACCAAACACGTGTGATACTCATTTGATACTGTACCAAACGTGAAGTTTATCACTGAACTGTGTAATTGTTCAGAAAATTATTAACTTTACATCTATATGTTATGACCAAGATTTGAACAAGATGAGCATTTTATATAAAGATTTATGTATATATGGACAAATACCGTCTTAAGTGCAACAATTTTATTGTAGTTTTTTCTTCTTTTTCCTCCTCCACACTACATGTTTCGGCCCTAAATGGCCATCATCAGGTGTGTATCACTCACGTAACTGTTACACTGCTTGTTAAAAATGTAAAAATCTCAGTCTTTCTAATTATATAAAATCTTTGTTAATCTACACGCGTCGATTTGATTTTTAAATTAGCACTTTTTAAACCTTAATTCAAGTTAAAATGTCTATAAGATCTTTGTTCTCTTTCTTTTTCAAATTAAAATTTTTCAGGGTACATGCCCTATATCTACGGTGCTGCAGCGGCCACTTCTTGTTTTTATCGCTGTTCATGTGTTGTCTGTAATATACAAATATTTGTGTTACTATCTTATGTTATGTCTTGTTATGTTATTCTTATATGTTTATACTGTTATTTGTACTTACTCAGTGTAGGCGCTCTCTGTGTGTGTCGCTGCTTATCTTTAATACGTGTGCTGTCT